CAGAGCTGATACGCACAGAAACGAGTACAGAGTAATCAGGCGCGTTTGTTGCATCCAGAGGTCTGAACTCGGTCTGCTACTCGAGCTAGGTCCGCGAAGCTATTCGTATTGTTCGAGTCGCCTTGAGAGGTGCTGTCGGTTTTCGCACGTAGCTCGGGCTGTAGGAGAGCTAGAGAGCTCATACGCACAGAAACTGATTCGGTATCATCAGGCGCGTTCGTCTGTTGCATCCAGAGGTCTGAACTTGGTTTGCTACTCAGGCTATCTGCGCTCGGGCTGAAAAACTATTTATTCTCTGCTGATTCTTTGGTCATGATATATGGTCAGGAAGCTCTACGAGTCCCCCGGCGGTAAGAAAGGTTGACGGCTTACCGCCGGCGCCCAGTACCTCGTAGAGCTCTTCGACATCGATGAGCTAGAGGAATTCCGGCGCGGGGTGGAGCTAGTTGGTCGACCCGGCCAGAAAGGACAGTGTGATAACTTTTGGGTGGTTTTGCTAAGATTTGGAAGGTAGTTGACCATTTATTTTGAGAAACCAGATTTTTTCGCACCTGTAAACGATTATGAGGGCCTCTGCGTCTTAATATGAGCTCTTTAGGCCCACATTTACTATCAAAACACTTGGCGGAACCAACTTCATCTCGAAATGGAAAAAATCAGTGTTCAATTTTTCGAGAAATGCCTCCAGAAGCTCTCTCTTTCGATTATCAGCACTCTCACGCGTGGAAGGAACTTCACGAGGTTCCCGGCGGTGACCAGGTTGACGGTTCACCACCGGCGCCAGTTGGACCACCTGGCCCGGGCGGACAAAGTGTTAACTTTTGGTCGGCTTTGATAAGATTTGAGAGATATTTGACCATTCATTTCGAGAGAGCAGATTTTTCGCACCTGTAGTGGGTTATGCCGCGTCTGCCCGTTAAATTCTCAGGTCCGTAGGTGCAGTATTACTGTCAAAACACTTGGAGCAACCGACTTTAGATAAAAACCGAAAAATCGTGATTCTTCGAGTTTTTGGGCTCTCGCTCCAGAAGCTTCCTTCATATGTTCGGAGGAGCGCTGTGCAAGAAAAGAGCTCTACGAGGTGCCTGGCGGTAACCTGGTTGACGGTTTACCGCCGGTTCCCAGTCTATTTTCTTGTTTAAAATGATGATGAGTTTTTTTGAGTTAACTCAAGCCTCAGATGAGCTCAAGGGCTTGTCGGCGCAGCAATTGGAAGGAATTGAGCATGCGCGCTAGTTGAAAGTACGTCGACGCCCGTCGGTCTGCAATTAGCACTGGAGACGAAACATTATTCGTACTCTGCATTTTTTGGGGAGATGCTGATGGTTTTCTTGACCAAACTCGAGCTGCAGATGAGCTAGGGAGCTGTTTGGCTCAGGAACCGGAAGGAATTATCAGGCGCGATAGTTCTGGGTATCTATACGCCTGAACTCAGTCTGCTATCGGCGCTGTGGCTGAAAAACTATCCGTACTCTGTTTGTCTTTTCTTCTCCGATATGAGGATGATTCCCGTGACGTAACTCGAGCTGCAGATAAGCTACAGAGCTGTTCGGCACAGCAATTGGAAGAAAATCATCAGGCGCGCTACTAGACACCTGCATTCGGTCTCCTAGCAGCGGTGGACCCGAACAACTATTCGTACTCTGCTAATTTTATCGAGATAGTGAGAATTTCCTTTAATCGAGCTGCAGATGAGCTACAGAGCTGTTCGGCACAGCGATCGGAGAACATATACTCAGGCGCACTTGTTGAAATTATCTAGACGCCCTAACTCTGCATTCTATCCGCGCTGTAACTACATAACTATTTTTACTTTAATTTTCGTCGAGATGGTGATGGTTTGCTTTACGCTGTTCGGCAGAGCAATCGGAAGGAAAGCATGAGGTGCGCCAGCTCAAAATGTCAAGACGCTAGAACTCGGTCTGGTATGACTATAATTTTTCCGATGTGCTTTCCTCTCACTCCTTTTTTCCCCCTTCTCCAGGAGACCGCGCCAACTCGCGCGCGTGATGCGAGCTTGCCGCGACCGCGTTGCACTAGGAAGCTCTACGAGATCCTGGCGCCCGTCTTTCTTCCTCCTCCTCGGGCCTCGGTGCCCCGCGCGATAGCGGCCGCTGCTCGGACGAGTCCTACGACATCTCTGTCAGGAAGCTATATGAGTTCTGACATCGGCTTTCTCTTCCAGGTCAACAGGTGCTTGTGTGTGCTTGTGTGGCACGGTTGCTGGATCGGGCCCAGTTTACAGTGCAGCTGCTGCCACATCTTGCGGAGACGTTTTCTGCTGTGACTTGCCTCGTTGTTGTGCTGGTCCGCAATGAGTATGGATCCTATGGCTTTTGTTTCCAATTTTATGACTTCTGATTTTGTTTCAGAGCGCATGGATTGCATGGCATTTGATTTTGTTTCTTCACGTTTGTCTGTGCTCGAAGTACGTGTGACTGACTTGTATCCTCGTGTTTCGATCTTGACATGCGAGCAGATGGGGAGGCCCGTCACGAAAGCGTCGCCCTCGCAACGGCGTCGTTCACGTGCTAGACAGGTGAAGCACCGTCTCTTGTGTTCCACGTCTTCGTCGCGTCAGGTGGGGGATTTCACTGGCCTCGGTCGTGCCGATGTCGTCGCACCTCGTTACTGTCGTAACCGCGGCCCTGCTGGCACGGCTCCGTGGACAGGCGTGCGAGCTTCTTCGATACCAGGTGTGGGGCCTTCCTCCCCGATGTATGTTTCTCGTTTCTCCTGCAACGGCAGCGGGCGTTACGACGATTTCCCATCATTTTCCGAATGTGCTTGAGAGTGATATTGCCTTGGTGGAGGATGCTCGAGTGGCTAGTGTTGATCCCGTCCCTGATGCCGTTCCCGATGTATCAGTTTCGGATGCGAGTGCCTCGGTCCAGCTAGCGGCAACGGGCGTTACGACGACTTCTCATCATTTTCCGAATATGTCTGAGAGTGGTGTTGCTGTGGAGGTGGAGGATGCTCGAGTGACTTTTGTTGAGCCTGTACCTGACGGCGTTCCCGATACCTTAGTGTCGGATGCGAGCGCCTCAGTCAATCTTGCGACAATGGGCGCTACGATGCCTTCACCGTCTTCTCCCAATGTGTATGAGAATGGTGCTGCCGTGGAGGCGGAAGGTGCTAGAGTGAGCGGTGCCGATCCCACCCCTGATGCCGTTCCCGCTGTGCCCGCTTCATGCGAGTTGCTCGGTCCATCTTCCTGCTCTTGCGATTGACCCCCGAGCCGTGCGTATCAAACGGTATTGTTCCCGACGAGAGGTGCCTGCTGCGGAGGCCCCGCCAGTGCTTGCATCCACGGTGGATCATGTGGTTCATTCTCTCCTGCCGCGGCCGTATGTGGACTCAGGCGTGCTGCGTACATACTTGGGCTTGCTTCCGAAAGGAAAGAAGACGATGATGACTCGAGTGATGAGGAGTCCGTGAATCCACAGAGAATTTGGGTTGTTGACTTCTTAGGAGCTTGGTATCAGTGCTCCCACGAGGAGCGGGATGCTTTCGTGCAAGCCTGGGCGGAACCCCTGGTGCATGGTCACTTACCTGACATGTGCCAATGCCTACATTACATTTCCACTGAGGAGCGAATCGATATTGCCCATCGGCGTAAGGCCTCCGTACTTGTTCAAGCTCTCTTGGATATCGTGGGGCCGGCGTGGCACTCCGCGTTGTAGCTTGACTTCGTGCCTTGTGGTCTGTGATGGGCCCTGCGTGTACGGCGTCAGGTCGTACGGTGTTGTCCCGCAGTTCTATGAGTGCGGCTACAGAGCGTGTCAACTGCCTCGATGGGAACGGAGAGGGCGAAGATCAAAGCCGGAAATCAACGCCACCATCTGCAGATCAAAGCCGGAAATTAACGCCACCTCGCTCCTCTCTCCCCCGTGCTGCTTTCGCCCCTGGGCTCGCTTTGTCTCTGTGGGCTCCCCCGCTCTCCCGCTGGCTTTCCTTCGCTCCCCGCTTGCAGGGCTCATGAGACATTTTGCAGTGCTATCTTGCACAGGTATGTGTGCACTCGTAGGTTGATTTTAGTCTCCTGCCATTGCCTGCCTGCTGTCGGTGGTGCTGGTTTCGGGGCAGTGTGGGCAGCCCCAGTTACATGATCAACAGTGAATGCTTCGAACGTTCTCGGAGTGAGTGGCTTCTTTGATGGAGGCCGTTCCTCTGAAGGTTGCGGCGGCGGCTCGGTATTCGATCTGTGCATTCTTCCAACGCTTCCTTTTCATCTTAGTCATCTGGATGGCTCCGCTTCTCCGAACGGTTTCTGGTGGTGCAGTGTTGCCTCAGAAGCCTTTCGTCTTCCGCCCTCGTGTGCAGTGACCCAGGCTGAACTTCTTGCTGCAAAGCACCTCCTGAAAGGTGTGGCGGCGGTCCTTCAGGCGGTTGGCCTGTTTCGCCCCGTCTGCGTTAGGCTGTGACTCGAGCGGGCCTGAACTCAGGCCTGTGGCTCTGCGCAAAGCAAAAAACAATGAGGTTGGCGGTTTACCGCCGGCTCCCATGTGATGACCCGGCGTCGGTTTTTCTCAAGATTGTGTGAGATTTGGAAGTTCGTTCTGCGAACTGGTATTTGTCGCACCTCTAGTGGGTTATGCCGTGTCTGCCAGTGTTTTTTTTTTTTTTTTTTTTTTTTTTTTTTTTTTTTTACGCTTGAGAAAGCCCCCCCCATGTGTTCTGAGCACCTCCGCGCGAGAAAAAGGCTCCCGCCCGGCTCCCGCCCGGCTCAAGCACTGCCGGCTCAAGCTCCGCGTACGTTCATTTTCTCCTGCCTGGGGAACCTCCGCGATGGGGAACGTTGAGCTAGCGTGGTGTTTTGCTCTGCCTACGCAACTGCCCATCTCCCTGTGCATCTTGCCTCTCTTTGTTGGCCTCTCATATTCATTCCTTGTTGCGGTGTGGTTGTGGCAATTTGTATTGTACCTTCGCCTCGCGTGGAGATCCGCCGTGTGCGGGTGACTTATTCCTGAATTTGATTCTTGTTTCTCGTTGCACGAATCATGCCACATGTTCGCAGTTGTCACAGGCGAGCTGCACGAAGATCTCGGGCCGTTTATTTGGGCTTCTGCAAGCCGCCATGTATTCCCGTTTGCTTGGGCTCGTTGTTGCCAAAAACCGATACTTATACGATTCTTCTGACAGAATTGGCTGCTCCGCCTGGATTGGAGGGAGACTGCAGAGGGGGGATCCAGGAAGTGGGAGTGCAGACTTTGTCTTCTCTTTGCCGGACTGTGTGTGTCGATGTGCAAACGGAGACCCCCCCGACTCTTTGTCATACCCATTCCTATGAGAGTGCAGTTGGGAGTTCAACAGCAGTTGGGAGTTCAACATTTGGAAGTTCCGCAGTTGGTTTGACTTTGTGCCAGACCCATTCTTATGACAGTGCAGTTGGGAGTTCAACAGTTGGGAGTTCCGCTGCCGCCAGCTTGCAGGACGCCTGTGTACAAACTCAGCTCTCTTTAATGGACGCCGGTGTGCAAACAGAGACTCTTGTGTCTGGTATGCACAACGGTGCGGAAGTGGACGCTTTCACGGATTCCCCAAACGTTTCTTCAATGGATGCTGACGTGCAAACTCAGTTCACTGGCAAGGACGCCTGTGTGCAAACTCAGTTCACTTCAATGGATGCTGGCGTGCAAACTCAGTGGGTCTACGTCTTCATGAACTCTACGCAAAGTCAGACGCGTGCGTGCAAGGAAGCTCTACGCCTTCGTGAGTCAGGTGGGAAAGATGTGCAGGCAGTGGTCTCATTTTCTTCTGACACGTATGCAGCTCTTTCATATTCCTCTTCTTCTGATGTGAAGGCAGTGGTCTCATCTTCTTCCGATGTGAAGGCCAAGGGGACTTCCACGTGCTCTCAGGCCACCATTGCCGATGTTAAGGCATGGATTGACGCTGCTGGCATTATCAACGAGTCGAATGCGATCCAGTATTTAAAGAATGGAGTGGATTTGTTTGCAGAACTTCTGACAGAAGGTGGGATCCCTGCAAAGGCCAGGGCAAATTATGCTATGCGGAAGCGCGGGACGTTCGAGAATGTGCAAGCGACGTTGGAGGACCTTCTGGAATTCTTCGAGAGGCACAGATATCTTACAGGGCAGATGAACCGTGCCGAGGCTGCCAAGTTTCTACAGGATTCCAAGTGCGACGAATTCCGAATCCAATTCTATGGACGTCCGAGGAACGATACAACCTCGTCATGTGGAAGTACTGCCTGCAAAGGCAAAGGCAAAGGCAAAGGTAAAGGCGCCGACATAGGAGGTCAGGAGTTTGACGATGTGTGTAGGTTCGGTGGGACGTTGACGGACTTTGAACGAAGGTGTAAATCTCAGGTTTGGCCTCTGCGGTAGACATTCGTATTCTTCGAGTGTTTCCTTTCAATCCGAACTTATTGTATTGGATTGTTGATTGTGATTGCCTCGCGTGGTCTTTTTGATTGTTGATTGTGATTGCCTCGTGTGGTCATTCAGTGCATCCTTATTCAGTGCATAGTCTCTTTTGTTTGTGCTCTAATAATTCAGTGTGTGCATGTTCAGTTCTTGGCCAGGTCTCCTGGCTCTCATGTCGTATTATGATTTTCGCCTCATCAGTTTCGTAACTGCTCGATGGTTGAACACCTTGGAGTCCTCTTATGTGATGTGCTCCCACAGGTTGTGCCGAAAGTCTTTAAGAGACTTCGCTTCGCCTGGGACTTTGTAGGACCTGGCCTCAGTGGCCAAGATGGTCCCAGCAAAGACGCAAAACAAAAACCTGGTTGACTTTGTCTTCTTTTTGCCGGACTGTGTGTGTCGATGTGCAAACGGAGACCCCCCCGACTCTTTGTCATACCCATTCCTATGAGAGTGCAGTTGGGAGTTCAACAGCAGTTGGGAGTTCAACATTTGGAAGTTCCACAGTTGGTTTGACTTCGTGCCAGACCCATTCTTATGACAGTGCAGTTGGGAGTTCAACAGTTGGGAGTTCCGCTGCCGCCAGCGTGCAGGACGCCTGTGTACAAACTCAGCTCTCTTTAATGGACGCTGGTGTGCAAACAGAGAATCTTGTGACTGGTATGCACAACGGTGCGGAAGTGGACGCTTTCACGGATTCCCCAAACGTTTCTTCAATGGATGCTGGCGTGCAAACTCAGTTCGCTGGCAAGGACGCCTGTGTGCAAACTCAGTTCACTTCAATGGATGCTGGCGTGCACACTCAGTGGGTCTACGCCTTCATGAGCTCTACGCAAGGTCAGACGCCTGCGTGCAAGGAAGCTCTACGCCTTCGTGAGTCAGGTGGGAGAGATGTGCAGGCAGTGGTCTGATTTTCTTCTGACACGTATGCAGCTCTTTCATATTCTTCTTCTTCTGATGTGAAGGCAGTGGTCTCATCTTCTTCCGATGTGAAGGCCAAGGGGACTTCCACGTGCTCTCAGGCCACCGTTGCCGATGTTAAGGCATGGATTGACGCTGCGGGCAGTATCAACGAGTCGAATGCGATCCAGTATTTAAAGAATGGAGTGGATTTGTTTGCAGAGCTTCTGACAGAAGGTGGGATCCCTGCAAAGGCCAGGGCAAATTATGCTGTGCGGAAGCGCGGGACGTTCGAGAATGTGCAAGCGACGTTGGAGGACCTTCTGGAATTCTTCGAGAGGCGCAGATATCTTACAGGGCAGATGAACCGTGCCAAGGCTGCCAAGTTTCTACAGGATTCCAAGTGCGACGAATTCCGAATCCAATTCTATGGACGTCCGAGGAACGGTACAACGTCGTCATGTGGAAGTACTGCCTGCAAAGGCAAAGGCAAAGGCAAAGGTAAAGGCGCCGACATAGGAGGTCAGGAGTTTGACGAAGTGTGTAGGTTCGGTAGGACGTTGACGGACTTTGAACGAAGGTGTAAATCTCAGGTTTGGCCTTTGCGATAGACATTCGTATTCTTCGAGTGATTCCTTACAATCCGAACTTATTGTATTTGATTGTTGATTGTGATTGCCTCGCGTGGTCTTTTTGATTGTTGATTGTGATTGCCTCGTGTGGTCATTCAGTGCATCCTTATTCAGTGCATAGTCTTTTTGTTTGTGCTCTAATAATTCAGTGTGTGCATGTTCAGTTCTTGGCCAGGTCTCCTGGCTCTCATGTCGTATTATCATTTTCGCCTCATCAGTTTCGTAACTGCTCGAGGGTTGAACACCTCGGAGTCCTCTATGTGATGTGCTCCCACAGGTTGTGCCGAACGTCTTTAAGAGACTTCGCTTCGCCTGAGACTTTGTAGGACCTGGCCTCAGTGGCCAAGATGGTCCCAGCAAAGACGCAAAAAACCTGGTTGACGGCTTACCGCCGGCCCCCAGTCCAGTGTGAGTGCCTCTTTGCTCTCCGGGTTTGGGGCGCTGCCAAGTAGTGCTCAGAATCGAAGCAGAGAACGTCGCAGAAGTTTTTCGTGAAGTCTTCAATTTTGTATTTTTCATGCCGACATGAAGTCGGTTCCTCCAAGTGTTTTGATAGTAAAAGGGCGCCTACAGAGCTCATGCTAAGACGCAGTGACCCTCATAGTCTTTAACAGGTGCGACAAATCTGTTTTCTCAAAATTCATTGTCACATATCTTTCAAATCTCAGCAAAACCAACCCAAAGTCACCACGTTGTCCGCCCGGGCCGGGTTGACCAACTGGGAGCCGGCGGTAAACCGTCAACCTCGGTTACCGCCGGGAACTCGTAGAGCTTCCTCGTGCAATGCGAGCGCGGCAATTTCGCATTGCGCGCGCGAGTTGGCGCGGTCTCATGGAGGAGGACGTGGAGGAGAAGAAGGAGTGAGAGGACAGCATCTCTGGAAAAATTTAGAGTCATACCAGACCGAGTTCAGGCGTCTGGACCCTTTGAGCTGGCGCACCTGTTGATTTTCGTCCGATTGCTGCGCCGGACAGCGTAAAGCAAACTATCACCATCTCGAAAAATAGCAGAGTACGAATAGTTCTTCGGTCCCAGCGCTGATAGCAGACAGAGTTCAGGCGTCTAGATACTTTAAACTAGTGCGCCTGAGTATTTTTTTTTCGATTGCTGTGCCGAACAGCTCTGGAGCTCATCTGCAGCTCGATTAAAGTCCAGAAAATTGTCACCATCTCCAGAAAAAGCAGAGTACGAATAGTTTTCCGGCTTCAGCGCTGATAGCAGACCGAGTCCAGGTGTCTAGTAGCGCGCCTGATGATTGCCTTCCGATTGCTGTGCCGAGCAGCTCTGTAGCTCATCTGCAGCTCGAGTTAAGTCAAGAAAATCATCACCATATCGAGAACATAGCAGAGTACGGATAGCTTTTCAGCCCCAGCGCTGATAGCAGACTGATTTCAGGCGTCTAGATACTTAGAACTATCGCGCCTGATGATTCCCTTCCGATTGCCGAGCCGAACAGCTCTGTAGCTCATCTGCAGCTCGAGTTAAGTCAAGAAGACCATCACCATCTCCAAAAAAGTTGGAGAGTACGAGTAGTTTTTCGGCTCCAGTGCTGATAGCAGACCGAGTTCGGGCGTCTAGATACTTTAGACTAGCGCGCCTGATCATTGCCTTCCGATTGCTGTGCCAAAGAGCCCTTTAGCTCATCTGAGGCTCGAGTTAAGTCCCTGATATTAAGATGGCGAGCAGGAACAAGAGCTCTAACGAATGTTCAAGGTTCGAGAAAATAAGTAAAACAAAAAAGAGACACAACTTCCGTCGATATTCATTTGCCAACCAGCCCCCCAGCGCGCCGGAATTACTCTCCTAGCTTCGCCGCTATTGCTCTTAGGGAAGCTCTACGAGTCATTCCCGCTCGCCATATTAATCTCAGGTCGATCGGGTACATACTATTGCCAAAAAGCATCCAGGCGGGATCGGCTGTTTATTGTCATCTTGACAGGTGCTGTTGGTTTTCTGGACTTAACTCGAGCTCTAGAAGAGCTACAGAGCTGGTAGGCACACCGAACGCATCTAGAACCGTCAGGCGCGTTAGTCTCAAGTATCTAGATGTCTGAAATCGGTCTGCTACCAGAGCTGGGTCCGCGAAACTCTTCGTACTCTGCTAATTATTTCCCAGATGATGATGAGCTTCTTGACTTAACTCGAGCTGCAGATGAGCTACACAGCTGTTTGGCACAGCAATTGAAAGACCATCATCATGCGCGCTAGTCTAAAGTATCTAGATGCCAGATCTCGGTCTGCTACCAGAACTGGGGCAACCAAATTATTGGTACGGTGGTATATTTCATAGAGATGGTGATGGTTTTCTTGACTGAAGTGGGGCTGGAGATGAGCTACAGAGCTGTTTGTCATAGCGGTCGAATGTAAATAATCAGAAGCGCGAGTCTAAAGTATCTAGACGCCCGAACTCGGTCTGATACCAGAGCTGGATCCGAAAAACTATTCGTACTCTGCCAGATCTTTAGAGATAGATGGTAGCTTTCTTAAGACAACTCGAGCTGCAGATGAACTACAGAGCTGTTTGGCACAGCAGTCGTAAGGAAATCATCAGACGCGCTAGTCTCAAGTATCCAGATGGCCGAACTCGTCGCGCTTCCAGAGTTGGAACCAGACAACTCTTCGATTTTTTTTCAGAGATGACGATGCCTTTCTTGATCCGTCCCCTCCTTCGCCTCCTCCTCCTCCTCCTCCTCCTTCCCTCCCTCGCCCCTCCATCTCCTTTCTCTTCGCTCCTTCTTCTCATCCAGTCCTCCTCCATGAAACCGCGCCCTCGCGCGCGCGGAATGCGAGATTGCCGCGCCCGCGTTGCGCGAGGAAGCTCTACGAGTTCCAGGCGGTAACCAAGGCTGACGGTTTACCGCCTCTTCCAATTTAGCAATCTCTCAACCGCCCTTACACGGCAGGGACACGTGTCCCTCTAGGTGTCACTCGACTTACTTGTTCCCCTTTCCTCCTTCTTCTTCTTCCCCACCATCCCGCGCGCCTCATGACAAACCCGCCGGCCCATAGGGCATAGGTGGTTCAGGGCGTGTCATCTTCGAACCATCTTTTTCTCCTTCCGGGAGGGTGTTATCGCTCTCCATATGTTATGCAGCCTCTTCCTCATCTAATCGGCATTCAGAGTGGATTTTTACGTCGCAGCGCGGCAGATCAAGTCCGCGCGAGCAACTCGGGTTGCGGCGTCGCGAACTGGCCCGCCAAGCATGTATTCGTACTCTTACTCTTCGTTTTCTTCCTTTTCCGCCGTTTCCTCGTTCCCTTCCTTCTTGATCTGCTCCTTCTTCCCTTCCCCCTCGCTCCTCCTTCTTCCCCGCCTGCTTTTTCTCCTCCTCCTTGTCCTCTTCGGCGTTCTCCATCCCCTTCTGCTTCTCTATGCTTCTTCTCTTCGCGTCCTTCTCGATGAACCGCCCCCTCGCGCGCGCAGAATGCGAGATTGCCGCCCGCGTGTCATTCACGTGCATCGAAGGTAACGGCGGTGACGAAGGTTGACGGTCTACCGCTGGCTTCAGCTCATAAGAATTCCGACAGCATCTGCCAAGTTCGCACTACGAAAGCTTGCCTAAGTTAATTTCATAGTCATATTTTACCCGACTGACTTCATATCCAGATGACGCTCGGGAATAAGATCGAATATGGGGGCACAACAACATTAGAGCTCGAACGAATTTTGATTTTTGATTGTTGATTTTGAGCCGGCTCAAGAATTCCAAACTGCTGTCGAGATTTTTCGAGCGAGCTAGTCAGCGAGTGCGTCCGAATGATGTTTTGATAGTGATACTAGAGCTACGGACCTGAGCATTTGACAGGCCGATGCGCCATACTCTATTGTAGGTGGAGAAAGTACTGGAGCTCTGTAGCTGGCTTCCTGCTCAAGTTAAGTCCACGAGACGGGTTGGCGGTAAACAGTCAACCAGGTTTGTGGCGGTTCGGCATCTCGAGGTCAGGCCCTGATGGCGCAGCGAGCTGGCTCATAATGAGCCAAGAGGAGGAATAATAATAATTATCATAAAAACAATATAAAGAAGAACACAAAAAACAAAAAAAAACATTGCCGAGCCAGGATGGCTGAGGCATGCGGATCATGGGCCTGCCGAGCCAGTCGGCGTAGGCATCGCCAACGAAACGCGCTGGGAAGCGAATTGCAGCGGCAAAACCGTCCAGACGCCACCTCCAGTCACCACGCCTGGCGCGATCCCGCACGCAGGGACCACGCCACGCTGTCGCGCAACGTCTAGCACTCGAAACGAGGCCTGCAAGTGGACAGTAATACCGAGAGTGCCGAGCCAGGGTTGCTCAGTTCAGCACCAGCCCAACAAGTGGCACTCCAAACGAGGCCTAAAGAGAGTACGACACGCCCAACGAGTCGCATCTGCAGCTCGAGTTACATCAAGAAAGGCACCACCATCTCCGGAAAATGAGCAGAGCACGAATAGTTTTTTTGGTTCCAGTTGTCGTAGCAGACCGAGCTCGGGCATCTAGATACTTCAGACTAGCGCTGCTGATCATTTTTTTGATTGCTGCCAAACAGCTCTCAAGCTCATGAATTTGCAGAGTACGAATAGTTTTTGTTCGAGTCCAGGTCAGGTAGCAGACAGAGGTCGGGCATCTAGATACTTGAGACTAGCGCTTCTGATGATATTCTTTCGGTTGCTGTTCCGAACAGCTCTGTGGCTCATCTGCAGCTCGAGTTACGTTGCGAAAGTCATCATCATCACCTTTTCAAATAATACAAGTGCAACTAGTTTTTTATTACAACTCTCGTAGAAACCGATTTCAGCTCGCACTTCTGACGATTACCTTCCGATTGCTGTGCGAAACAGCGCTGTAGCTCATCTCGAGCGCGGGTTAAGTTGATAAAACCGACTACACCACGAAACATTTAGCAGAGTACGTCTAGTTTTCTCGTTTCAGCTCTCGTAGCAGACCGAATTCGGCCATCTAGACACTTGAGACTAGCGCTTTTGATGATTCTTTCTCGACTGCTGTGCCAGACAGCTCTGTAGCTCATCTATAGCTCGAGTTAACTTAAGGAAACCGACGCCACCTGTCAAGATGACACTGCACAGCCGATCCCGCCTGAGTGGTTTCTGACAGTAAAATGTACCCGATCGACCTGATATTATGATGGCGAGCGGGAATAAGATCGAATCTGAGGGAACAAATGAAACGTTCTAACGACCTTCTCAAATCCCGAGAACATGATTTTGAATAAGTGAAAGCAAAAACAAAGCATCAGTCGATTTTTTTGGGCAGCTAGCCCCCCAGCGCGCTGGAATTACTCTCTAGCTTCGCCGTTTCGCTCTTAGGGAAGCTCTACGAGTCACTGGCGCTTCTGACGATTACCTTCCGACTGCTGTGCCAAACAGCTCTGCAGCTCATCTCGGGCTCGAGTTATGTTGAGAAAACCGACAACGCCTCGAAACCGATAGCAGAGTACGTCTTGTTTTCTCGTTTCAGCTCTCGTAGCAGACCGAATTCGGCCATCTAGACACTTGAGACTAGCGCTTCTGATGATTCTCTTTCGACTGCTGTGCCGAACAGCTCTGTAGCTCATCTGCAGCGCGAGTTAGGTCAGGAAAATCACCATCATCTCTTTAAACATTTGCAGAGTGCGAATAGATTTTCGGACCCAGCTCTGGTAGCAGAGCGAGTTCGGACATCTCGATACTTGAGACTAGCGCTTCTGCAGATTCTCTTTCGATTGCTGTGCCGAACAGTTCTGTAGCTCATCTGCAGCTCGAGTTAAGTCAAGAAAACCGACAGCACCTGCCAACGTGACACAAAACAGCCGAATTCGCCTGAGTGCTTCGCCGCTTCGCTCTCAGGGACTGGGGGCCGGTTGTAAACCGTCGACCTGGGTTGCCGCCGGGAACTCGTAGAGCTTCCTTGCGATATACATGAATGGGGTGCGGGCGCGGCAATCTCGCATTCCGCGCGCGCGAGGGCGCGGTTTCATGAGGTGGACGTGGAGAAGAAGAAGGAGTGAGGAGGGGAAGAAAAAGGAGGAGGATATCGAGGAGGGGTACGAGGAGGAGAAGGAGGAGGAGCAGAAAGAAGTATGAGAAGGAAGAGGACGAGCAGCATTTGAATCTAGTACAGGAAATAACTGTTATCTCTTACCAAGTAATGCAGAGTGCTCAATTGTTGCTCTGGTGGCAGACCAATCTCATACGTCTCGATGCTATAGGCGACGGTCTGATGATTCCTTATTGAGCGGTGTCCTTTCCAGCTCCCTAGCTTGCCTATACATCGAGTACAGAAATCCAACACCACCTCGCATATTTCTGAAAGATGCAGCTCTGGTGGCAGACCGATCTCAGGCGTCTAGACTGTAGACTGATTGATGGTTCGCAGCATTCCCTGTCGATTGGCATGCATCTTAGCTCCGTAGCGCCTAGAGCTCGAATTTAGTTCAGGAAACGCACGTCATGGTTGGACACATTTTTACAGTATAACATTTTCCAGTCGTAGACGTCTCGATATCGTTGGCGAATGTACCTGATGACCTTCTGCTTCGAGGAGTGCTTCTCAGCTTTTAGCCAGCCTACAGCCCAAGTGAAGTAAATAACGAGCATGATCTCCTGCATAATTAGCAGAGTACGATTGTTTTGTTGGGTCCAGCTCTGGTAGCAGACCGAGTTCGGGCATCTAGATACTTGACGAACGCTCCTGATGATGCTCTTCTGATTGCTGTGCCAAACAGCTCTGTAGCTCACCTGCAGCTCGAGTTACATCAAGAAACGCATCACCATCTCCGAACAATCAGCAGAGTACGAATAGTTTTTTATTCCAACTCTGGTAGCAGACCGAGTTCAGGCATCTAGATGCTTGGAAATAGCGCTCCTGATGGTGTTCTTTCGATAGGTGTGAACAACAGCTTTGTAGCTCATCTGCAACTCGAGTTACACCAAGGAACTTTTCATCATCTCGGGAAATCAGCAGAGTTTTTTTTTGTTTTTTTTTTTGTTTTTGTTTTTCTCTTCTTTCTTTCTTTCATATATTATTATTCTTATTATAATATATATACACATATATAAATAAATAAATAAATACATCCAGCTCTGGTAGCAAACCGAGTTCGGGCATCTAGATACTTGAGACTCGCGCTTCTGATGATTCCTTCCGATTGCTGTGCGTAGCAGCTCTGTAGCTCATCGGCAGCTCGAATTAAGGTCATAATATCGACAGCACCTGCCAGGATGACACTCAAGGGCCGATCCCGCCAACATGCTTTTTGACAGTAGTATGTGCCCGATTGCCCTGACATTAAGATGGCGAGCGGGAATAGGATCGAATATGGGGGGGACAAATATTAGAGCTCGAGCTAATTTTCAGATTTCGAGAAAATGATCTTAAATAGGCCAAGAAAAGACAAAACATCCGTCGATATTTTTCGGGCCAACTAGCCCCCCAGCGCGCCGGAACTACTCTCTATTTTTGCCGCTTCGCTCTTATGGGAGCTCTACGAGTCAAGCTCTACGAGTCACTAGCCCCCCAGCGCGCCGATTTACTCTCTAGCTTCGCTGCTTCGCTCTTAGGGAAGCTCTACGAGTCACTTGGCCAAGCTCCAGCGCGGCAGCGTTCGGGGGTCTCGCGAGGCGCATGTCGCAGCTGGCGTCTGACGAATTGGGGGGGTGCCGTTATTCAGGGAATGAGCTTGATCCGTCGGCGTGGCCCGCTCGGCGCTCGCGCTGATATGGGGAGTGGCAGTGCAGCGTGGCGAGGAGGGCGGGCGTGGTGGAAGGGCTTGATCTTGGCGTGGCGGCCGATCTGGCCAGGTGATGCATGCTTGTGGCGCGGAATGGGTCGACGGCGCAGTTCAGTTTGAGCTCGGCCGCGTCGATGGCGTCGGATGGGGGCGGGAAGGACTCTACGAGGTCCCTGGCGGTAACCTGGTTGACGGCTTACCGCCGGCGTCCAGTCCCTCTTCAACTCGGACAAGAATGCAAACCACCCTCGAGCAGGTTCACTGAATCCGAACCAACACGTCGTGCTGAATGTATCTGCTCTGTCCAGGGCAATATCCGCGTCGCAACGGCGAAGTGTGCACAGTGTACCGTATGACAAAGACCAACTCAATGCACAACTGCAGGATGAGAGTGTGCGGTATGGGGAACAAAACAGAGCGGGAGTGCAGGATGGGAATTCTAACTTAAGAGAAACCAGCCAGCTGTCGGCACAGTGCCGCTCGAGACGAGTGTCTGGGGGCCCGTCATGGCTTGCCCGGGGCTCTCTTGGGCCAATTTGGGGCCATCGCGAGGTCCAAGGTGCCCAGTTGAGGTTGACGGCGAGAAGGCCAGGGAGAACAACGCACGCAGTTAGGGGGTCCCGATGTCACTACCAGTCGTCTTGGGGCTGTCTTGGGTCATATTGGAAGCATGTCGGAGGCTAGCTTGAGCTATCGGCGGCTGTCCTGTGCCATTTTGGAAGCCATCTTGGGACATCACGGACCATCCTGGAACCATGTTGGACCCGAATTGGCCGCCTGACGCATCGCAGGGAACCCAGGGGGGAAGGGATGACGATGAGCAAATCATTCCAGGATAGGGAAGGACAGTGTTTTGAACGAGAGAAGAAACAATCCGCCATACCACCCACGTCAACAGGGCTGATGCCGCCATGTCGCCTTCTTCGGGACGCAAGAGTGAGCCTCTCGTGGCCCTCTGGGGGCACGCTTGGGGCCGCGTTGGAACTTGCCTGGGCCCTCCGTGGGGCTCACTTTGGCAATCTTGGCGACCGATCTTGCGGGCCCTCGAGCCCACTGGAAGCGAAAAGACAAGAACGCACGCATCATTCGGCTTCCGTCAGGTTTGGGAAGGAGGTGTCCTGGGGCGGGCCCGCGGCCTGTTGAAGGCATGTCCGAAACCATCTTGAGCCTTCATTGGCCATGGCGCGTCATCACGGAGGGTACCCCGAGCGATCTGAATGCGCGCGTCTGTGGCAGCAGGGGGCCAGAAGAGTGGGGGGCGGGCGAGCTCGCTCCTGCTGGCGCCTCTCTCGCCCCGACTGGCTCGACCTCAGACTCGCGACGAACGCTTCTCCAGTGGGAATGGTTGCTCGAGGCCGTCTTGGCGCAAATGCCTTCCCGAAATGCTAAATTCGGTTAAGCACCTATCATTTATTCATTGTTTCTGCTCCAGGGTACCGCATTCGGGTCGCCGTTGCTGGGCCGAGCACATCGCCTGGGCCTCCCTTGAGGCGCTCGGCGCCCTGGGGGCCGTATTTGGGCCATCCTGGGCTCGTTTGCAAGCTCGCTTGGGCCATCTTGGAACCATCCTGTTGCTTCAAACGCATGTGGGGCGCGGGAGGGCGAGAAGGCAACGACGTGTGTGTGTGTGTGTGTGTGTGTGTTACGGATATATTCACATGATTCAGACCTGTCGGGGGCGTCCTTGGGAGACTACGTGGCCACTTGGAGCCGACTTTGAGCGGCTTTTGGGCGTTTTGGAGGCGCGTTGCGCGTCATTTCGAACAACTTCTGGATATCTGGATCCATTTTGGAGCCATTTTGGGCTGTAGGAGCCTTGGGGCCATTTGTGTCATTTCCGATGCTCTGACCGCTCGCGAAGCCCTTCGCCTTGACCCAGGGGGATGGGTAGGAAGATGGGTCAATCCATCCCCTAGATAGTAATCCGTCTAGCTCTCTCCCACCCGCCCTCCCAACGCATAAGTAGCACCCGAGCCTCATCACGTTCAGCGCTCGTTTTTTGATGGGCAGCTACTGGGAACCAAAACCGACCCCACGTGCGCGACGCTGGGGCGAAGTGCGCCAAGCGTGCCAGGCGCGCCACGCGCGCCAGGCACCCCTGGGGCCCGAGCGTGCCAGGCACGCCTGGTGCGCCAGATGCGCTACGTGCTCCGCATGCGCCAGGTGTGCCGCATATTCCAGCCGCGCCAGGTGTGCCACGTTCGGGGCACGTGGAGAGTGTGTCAAGTGCGCCTGTGCATGTGACAGCCCACATCGAGAAACATGTCGGCCCCCACCATCCTTGTCGAAAAGCAATGCCCATCATTGTGTCTGTTAGGCCTGCGCACAGCAGGCCATGCGCCACCACCCCCGCCGTCCCTGTAGAGGATTCGTTGCGGGCGAATGTTTTGCATGTGCCGTGGTTAAATGGCAGCTGCAACGTCAACATCGGGCGCGATCTGACGCACACTTTTTACCCGAATCAGTTGATTACGCTCGTCGTGCCGAGTTCTTGCGCACAGTGCGATTGTCAAGTTGTAGCCTCACATCGGTGTAGTCAGGAAATTCGTTTACGGGCAGTCATGTCCACGTTTTCGGCTTGTCGTTGATTGTTGTGCTCGCCTGTTGGGTGTATGAACGAATTCCTGTTTCTTGTGCAATTGAGAAGTCTCAGCAGTTTTGTAAGTACAGCGAAGGTGGCATGCTCCAAGGCAGATGATTCGCAATACAATTAAGTAGTATATTCGAAGGGGAACATGTGGGACAACCGTGAGGCCGTCTTTGAGAGCCGTCAGCTGTCCGGGCTTCCCGCATAGTGTGTCGCATGACACCCAACTTGATTTCAGCAGTGTATCAGTGTTCCTTCTGTCTTGGCGCACAACCAGTCCTTCTCAAGGAACGCATCCAACACAACTTACTCAAGCGGCTCGCGCCAGTTCGCCGACCTCCAGAAGAGGAGTTGTGCAGCTTTCGATTTCGTACGCTGTGTTTGCTGCTTCGCGTCGTGTTGTGTTGCCTTTGTGTCGTTGTTGCTGCATCATTTTTCTTTTCGTCTCTTTATTGCCTCTTTGAGGCCTACGGGGTGGGGAGCCTTTAGGGGATCCCTTTTTTTAAGGGGGGGTCCTCTGGGTGCTTCTTGGGGGCCTCTTGGGGGCGGGTCTTTGGGGGCCATCTTGTGGACGAGGGATCATGGGATCCGTGCAAATTCCCCGTCTTAGGCCTCTTTGGGCCCCTCTGGTGGTCCTTTTGGGGGCCTTTTCGTCTGTCTTGTGACATCTTGGATCGTCGTAGGACCTTCTTGGGAGGTATCCAGGCTCTCGTGGGTGCCACTTGGGCTGTCTTGGGCGGGTCTTGGGGGCTTCTGGGCCGTATTTTCAGAAGCCCGAGAAGATACATAGCGCAAACACATCATTCAAACATGTGGGGCCATCGTGGGTGTTCTTGAGGCCTCGCCAGCGTTTCCGCAGAGGGTGGATTTGGATGCTCCAAGGCCCAACACATGCGTTGGTGAGCTCGCATGGGGACCCCGGTTTCTTTGTTTTCGCTTGTTTTGTTGTTCCTCCCTTAAATGGGATTTTGATATTTTGGGGAGGGGAAAGGGGGATGTGGACAGCCGACCATGTCACACGCATCCCGCCAACCGGGTTCGGCGGATTCAGTTTCCGAGTTCATCGCTTGTGCATTGTTGACGCGGTTGTTTACGCCGGGGTCGCGCCTGTCAGAGTCTTTGCCGCCGAGAAATGTACATGTTTGTTGATCATAGCTCGTTCTTGTGATGGCGCTTTCTGGCTTACTTCTACAAGGTTTTTTTGAAGTCGTGGGACACCCTAAACACTCGTCTGACATGTTGTGGTCGTTTGTTGTGCACGTGTAGCGTTGATGAACAGGTTGAGATCTAGTAACTCATCTTTTGCAATCCGGTGTTCCAGTGAATGGGAGGCAGTGGTTTGTTGCAGCGACAGATGCGTTGAAGCTCGAATCTTGAAATAGCGTCTACAGCCAGAGCCCAAGTCCACCATGAATGTTGACTGCCCATCGGCTCAAGAGTCGCTACTGTTGCTATTGCTGCTTCTGGGGGCATGAAGGAAATTGAAGTGGGAGACTTCACGTGCAAAATCGGTGAGAGCGCCCATGAGAATTGGGATCTGATTGACCAGGCAGGGCGCCTGAAAAATGAGGAAGAGAGCGCACTACCCGTGAAGCATTCCAGGATGTTGGAACGGGGAGGGTAACAAGGCTTGGCGGTGCTCTGTGAGGGGCGGACATGCACGGTATTGTTTTCTGGATCAAGGACGGCGGTCGTTCGTTTTGATCTCTGCAGTCCCTTCGCCGTCTCGGTCTGAGGCGGGTCCATACGAAATGACCTCTTCATGATCACTCCTGTCAGTCGATCTTGCCAGTTTGTTCTTTGTGTTCAGTGGTCAGAGGCGCACACGGTCTTGTTTTTCAGATTCATATTCATGGATAGGCGTGCTTTGTGCCAGGTAGATCTGTACACCTTGGCAACCACCATTGGACAGAGAAGCAGTCGCAACCTGCCATGATGTTTCGGAGCAGCCCTCTCTGGGTGGGAGTGCCAGACAGGCCAAGAAGCATTACTGGTTCTTCCACCTTACAGACTTTCCGAGTCCGTACGTGGTGTGGCGGGGCAGTCAGTGCCATGATTACAAAGTTAGAAGCGCACAGGTGAGTGTGACAGAGCACCAAGTACCACAGCAGCACTCTACCATAGACATAGGGATTTGACCGAAGAGCAGCGGGCAGGGGTGATTTAGGATGGTGAAGCGGAGAGCTAGGAGGATGAAGATGACCATAGTAAACCCAACATGTAACAACGATGCTGAAACATTCCCTCCGTCCCGAGTCCCCTCTTCAAACCTCCTTGCAAGTCCATGGGTCCGCAATTCTGGCGGGAGCTGCTTTCCATCCTTCGAGTTGTAAGGAATGCGACAATGGGAGACATCACATACAGAAAGTACTTAGCCACAGCCCCGCTGTTGGAAAGAAGCGCCCCCCATCTGTGCAATTTGACGGTTGCGCAGCTTTCGACTTCTGGTAGTGGAGCCCATGTGACGCCATATTTGCGTGTCCGCCTCATTGGTAGGGCGAGCCGCCTCTTGAGCTGCTCGGTCGGACGTTGCGTTGCGTTAATTACGTTGCCGTCGTGAAGTGTATCGGCGGACAATGACGATGCTGATGACGACGATGATTATGTTGGTCATTCGGATGATGCTGATGCTGATGATGATGATGATGATGGTCATGATGATGTTGATATTGCTGATGTTCATGATGATGACGGTGATAATGCTGATGCTGAGGATGATGATGAGGAGGATGATGCTGATGGATATGATGATCTTGATGATGAGGAATTATGACGATGAAGATGACGATGATGCTGCTGACGATGATTATGCTAACGATGAAGACGCTGATGGTAATGGTGATGATTATGATGCTGCTGCTGATACTGCTGCTTTTGATGATGATGATTATGACCACGATGCAGATGATGATGATGCTGATGATGATGATGATGATGATGTTAATGGTGATGATGGTGATGATGAAGCTGATCATGATGCTGCTGCTGTTGATGATGACGATGGTACTTATGATGATGAAGAAGATGATGGATACCAATGCTGATGCTGAAAATGATGCTGCTGCTGCAGATGATGATGCTGATGCTGATGCTGCTGCTGATGATGATGATGATGGTGATGCTGATGCTGCTTCTGATACTGCTGCTTTTAACGATGCTGATGATGATCATGATCACGATGACGATGATGATGATGAAGCTGATGATGATAAAGATGCTGAATATTCTGATGATGCTGATGATGACGATGCTGATGAAGATGATGCTGCTGATGCTGCTGCTGGTGATGCTGCTACTGCTGATGATGCTTATGCTCATGATGAAGATGATGATGCTGATGATTGTGTTGCTGATGAGGATGCTGCTGCTGATGCTGATGCTGATGCTGATGATGATGATGATGATGTGTATGATGATGTGTATGATGATGCTGATGATCATGATGATGCTGGTGATACTTGTAAGTATGATGATGATGCTGATGCTTATGATGGTGATTGTGGCGGTGGAAGTTGTCATGATGATGCTGATGCTGATGATGATGATACTGATGAGGATGATGATCCTGATGATGCTGATGATGTTGATGGTGATGATGGTGGTGGTGATGATGATGATGCTGTTGATACTGATACTGATACTGATGATACTGCTTATGCTGATGATGACGATGATGCTGCTGCTGCTGATGATGATAAATATTATGATGCTGCTGCTGCTGCCGCTGCTGCTGCTGCTGATGATGATGGTGATGATGATGATGATGAAGACGAATATGATGATGATGATGATGATGATGATGATGATGATGATGCTGATGATGATGATGATTATGATGATGATGCTTATGATGATGATGATGATGCTGATGATGATGATGCTGATGATGATGACGATGATGATGATGCCGCTGATGATGATGATGCTGATGATTATGATGATGATGATGATGCTGATGATGCTGCTGCTGCTGATGATGATGATGATGATGATTCTGATGATGATGCTTATGATGATGATGATGATGATTCTGATGATGCTGATGATGACGATGCTGATGATGATGGTGATGATGATGATGATGATGATGATGATGATGATGATGATGATGATGACGATGACGATGATGATGATGATGATGATGATGATGATGATGATGATGATGATGATGATGATGATGATGATGATGATGATGATCCTCGATTGAAGGATGAGGGTTGCAGCCGTACAGTTGTCGTCACCCTTTGGGGCAACTGCCCCGCAGCTGGCCCAGACCATCCGCCAGCCCCTACTCCGCCGAGCATCGCGGGAGGGAGGTTTCGGGGCACACCACGGCGGCAATCCTTGCCCAAGGATGCTCGCCGAGTTTGCAACGACCGCGCTTGCTGCCAGCCTTTGCCAGCGATCGGGCCTACTGCCGCTGCCTGCTGTGTAGAGCAAGCCGACGCGGGGGAGGAGGAGGGAGGAGGAAGCCGTGCGCCACACGCTCCCGAAATCGAAGAGGCTGCCACTACGGGAAGCTGGAAGGCCGTAACATGTGGCTGGGATCGCGCGCTCGGCCCGCCCCGTCAGAAACAGCAGCAGAGGGACGCGGAGTGCGCTCCGCCTGACACCTCGCGGCGAGACCGCGTGGCTGGATTCGGGGAGGTCTGGCGGAGAGGGACGATCGAATCACCCGGTCCCGCACTGGAGGACGCCATCTCCGATCACAGCCAGAGTCGCGCGGCGGACTCCCAACGATGACAATGATGACCTGCAGAGTTCGTTTTTTCAGGTGTGGCCTCAGAGTGCACTGAGGCGCGTCTTGAGCCAAAACGGGTACGGACCCTCATCCGTCCCGCGGCTCGCGCAAGGTATCGTGACAATCTCGTGCCCGAATAAGCGTCCTAAATTCTGCCCCTGGTGATTTGTCACCAGGAACGAGAAGTCAGAATTCCGGGCGTGCCGGCCCATCCGCTTTCGAACGGGTGTTCCTTCAACCAGAACATCCGCACTGATTCTGACACTAGCGTCGTCGACTATCGAGCGGATTCCCCGCCCGACCACCGACTTTGAGCGAAATGCACTATTGAGCATCGGCTGTAAATACAATAAACTAAAGTTATGGGGCCGGCCCCCAGAGGCTGGCCGAAAATACAATACAATTCATAATACACATGCACATGTCAATGGCAGTGAGATTGCCCCTGCGCTCTGGCAAGGATTGAACGGCTGGCGCACCGGCAGCTCTCTTGTCGCAGCGGCGGGTGAAGACGGCTGGCGCACCGGCAGGACTCTTCTCGCAGCGGCGGGCATTCTGGCCTCCTCTCGTGGCCAGAAACAACACTCGGAATCAGAGGGCCGGCGGGTCCTGCGCTCTGGACGTTCATGCATGACATGACTATTGTACTAATTCATAAAAGTATATAGTATACGGAAGCCCTTGCTCCCGCGCGTCTCCTCGGCTGTCGAACGGTTGCCCGCCCGACAGTCGAGAGCAACAGGATGGATGCCGACAACGAGGTCACCTGTGACGTGTGCACTATTGCTCGAGATTCTGATCAATGCGTGCCACCGTCTTTGACTCCAGTCAGGTTCTCAAGGCAAAATATGCATACACAGTTATGACTCCAATGACCTGTCAACACAATGAGCGATACGTGCCTGATGGACTTACAAGCTCCCCCCATCCGCAGTACACGACAAATGAAGCTGTGGATGCCCACGTCAGTCCATGGCCTTTTCAAGTGCCGCCCATCTCCGCTCAGAAGCTCCAGGTCTGTTTCGCGGTGCTCCTCTGCGGCGTTTCTTTCTAGGGCCGGCCTCTTCTCCAGCTTCAGCGTCTGGGCGTTGATTCGCACGATCGGCCCCTGCGTCTCCTGATACGCCAGCGGCAGATGAGGTGGCTCCACGGCCTCCTCCAGTCAGCTGCGCCGTTGCCTCGATCACGGCGTGCAGCTGCTCGTTGGTAATGCCGTGGTTCCTGACGAAGGCGGCGTAGGGCACGCGCATGTCGTCGGCGTAGTTCGCGCACACCTCTGGCAACGAGGTGAGATCAGAATCTGGAAGCCACCTCTCGCACATGGCCCTCAGGAGCTCCCCCCACATTGGGTGGTCTCGCGGGACGTCCGGGTGGACGATGCCCTCAATCATCAGCGTGCTCCCCCCTCCTCCCCCATGCGCTGCTGCAGCACCAAGTCGTGGAGGCTGCACAGGATGGGGCGTGGAGGGGCCGTCGCCTGCCATGTCGCTCCTGTTGGCCCGTCCTGGTGTCACAGAAGTCGCGTGCGCAGCCACCGTGCCAGGGAGCTGGCCCTCCATGGCGTCAATGAGGACCTTGATCACCTCAGGCGTGGCCAGCTTGGTCAGCGCGTCGGCGACCATCTCCTTCGTGGGGCAATGGCTAAGCTTCACTCGGCCCTGCTTCCCCTCCTCCAGCAGACGCTTGGCGCGCACGGCATAGTAGCGAGTGCGCCAGGTCGCACCCAAGCTTGCAGCAGTAAGAGCAGCTTGGTTGTCGATCATGACCTCGACGCACTTGGGGTACAGGTGCAGCGTGGAGAGGAGGTAGCGTATCCCCTCGGTCACCTGCCAGCCCAGCGCGGCGGCACAGAGCTCGGCCTCGGCCGTGGACAGCGCCGACAAGGCTGCCCGGCTGGAGCGCCACGTGATCACCGAGCCGCCCCAGCAGATGATCAGACCATTCTGCGACTGGGTGGCTGCCCCGGCAAACCCCGCATCTGAGTAGACGCGGAGGTCGTTCTCGTCGCCCTGGGCGGTAAGAAGAAGACCTTGGTCAGCTGTCCCTGCCAGATACCGGAGCACCTTGTGGGCGAGGTCGCGGCTCCATGCTCCATACTTGGTGGTGCTTGAAGCCAAGAGGGAAGTCCAGTAGGACACATCTGGCCTGGTGCGCGTGGCAAGCCAGTTGAAGGCCCCGGCGTGTGCCTGCAGCTCCTTGAGCTGCTCTCGCTGTGGCGGGTCCTCCTGCTCAGGAATTTTGTCCATGGAGACGCTTTTGATGGATTTGCAGCGGTCCATTCCGTGCTTT